ATACATATGCACACATACATACATACATACATACACACACACACACACATATATATATATATATATATATATAAATATATATATATATATATACAGATGATTACTTATATAAAGCGCATTTTTTTTCTACTTTCTCTTCGAATAATAAATAACTTTTTCGTGTTTGCACCTATTCGGAATGCAGATCAGACGGCTTTCAATGCTTCTGAAATTTTGATATTTTTTATATTTTGACGTCTCGATAGCAGCATTAGTTCGTTGTTAGAACTTATTGTAGATCATTTGCGTCATTTCAAATACAATTGATTTTTTCAGTTTCTTTTTTAGTTCTCGTATATAGTGAGGGAATCATTGCAGTACATTTTCCGTCGTGATTTATGCTTCCGTTTCGGCCCTTATAGCCTTCAAAATGCTCATTCACACTCTCGCGTGTCTACATAGGATGGCGAGGCCCTTGAAGGGCTGAACGCGGAGGAAGAGGAAGAAGAAGAGGAAGACATTTTACCGCCGGATGTGATGCCTCTGCCAACGCAGTACCGTTCCTTTAAGCCCAACCTTACTCCCGAGGAGGGAGAAAAAATGAGGTTTGTGCAAGCCCAGGATGTTGTGCTGCGAGCGTAGAAGTTTCTTATTGTACTATCATGTCGTCGTGTTAAGTTAGTCTTGCGTGAATCCTTTGAAGTTTGGATTAATTGCTACTGGCCATTTCTTTTGCTTCAATATCATAGGACATCTGCACATTAGAATGGTATTATGTTTTACCTTGTATCCGAAGTGTTATTGGATGATCTCATCCAATAATCGAAGAAAGCAGCTAAAAGACAGCTCAAATTGTTGTCGCATATACCGAAATGACGTTATACTTATCGAAAATGTACGCTGTTCTTGTGACTGAGTGCATAACTAGGCAATCATATCCTCCCGAAAATTTTCAGTTTACTTTTAGAATCATTCTCGGAGGAACAAATGAGTAGGTACGAATCGTATCGACGAGCTGGTTTTCCACGTGCGGCTATGAAACGTGTCATGCAGCAAATTACGGGGAGCATAGTTCCGCCTACCGCGGTCATCGTCATGTCGGGTATAACCAAGATCTTCTGCGGAGAAGTCGTTGAATCATGTATGTAGGGTGTAACCAGTATTAAGTTTTGTCTGAGTTTACTCTTCCATGTGATGAACGTCTGCACAAAATACAACTCTGCCAAGTGGGCCGTATTTTACATATCTTGTCTACAACATTGCTCGTATATGAGTCGCAAGCGAACCACTCGCACTGCATTTATAGAAGTGTGGCTAAGCGATGCAAAATATTGGAATTCCAAGAAACGGGGGTCTATTATCTCGCTTGTGTAGTATAGCAAGCTGAACTCTAATACCTAATTTCGAATATTACCGATATTAAAAATAAAATAAAAATGTGAAATGCATCCTACCTACAATATTCAGCTATCAAGGTACAAACGGAATGGAAAGACAGCGGCGCACTGAGGCCGAAGCATATCCGAGAGGGACTACGCAGGTTGCGTAACAATGGTGTGTTTCATGCAAGCACACTACATCACCGTGAACTCGTTTCCGAGTACTGTTTGTTAACCCTTCTACACACATTGCAAGAGAATATGTGTTCATTGTTATAGGCCACACTTGTGTCCGCGCCGCTATCTTTGAGTGTATAAGATACTGCTGACTATTTGACGTTTATTGCATGTGCCAACATATTGATACCAGGCAGCCCGGCCCGTTATCGTACCTTTCACTACATCTGCCATCATATTCGAATAACTGTATTGGTTTTCAACAGGCGAGACGACCGTGACTGGGTTGAAGCCTTTCAAAAAGCGTAGATTGGACTGAGGATGTGCTACAAGGCTTATCATTGCATTCGTGATCCTGCCAGCCCAGCAGATTGGATGTGGAAGGTCAAAAAGCTATTATATTCAAAGACGCACCTGCATGATCCGAATACGCAGTCGGCGACGTGAGACGGGCGGAATATACACGTTTTGTGTACAAAGTTGTTCACTTCTTCATTGTGGAAAATCCTCTGTTTTGTAGAGTACGAGTCACTTGCGAAGGCACTCAAGCCTCACGGATCTAATACTTCTTGGAATTGGTTGAGGATCAGGTGTTGTAAGGCTCGCTGACGATGGGGGGCCATAGTGCATCTCTGCTGATGTTCCATTCTGCGTTTTACAGCATGCGCTAGAAGACAGCAGTCACAAACAAGGTTCTAATTTGACCTGTGCATGGTCATCAATAGAACTAGTCTGTGCATTTCAAAGATGCGAAAAAATGTCTGCTCAGCCCCAGGTTTCACACCGATGGGTGCGGCAAAGTACCAACATCATCATCTCAGCTGACATACCAACTCGTGGTCTGAGAGTCATTCGTGCCCCTCTCATGAGCGAATAAGTGCCTGATTCAACTTTGGGATGTGAGAACGCCCTGTGGATGTCTGAGCTTCGTAGTCCACGCTTTACATCGTAATGTAGTCTGCAAACCCTTGAACTAAGCTCAAAGCGCTCGTTATCGAAGCGCAGCGTGCTTTATAAGCGCAGTGTGCGCAGTTTGAGCATACTGAAGTCATCAGCACTTACGATAGAGTACGCTACAAGACGATCCAACGAATCATACCTTGTCTTATCTACGAAGTACACACACATGAACCAATCATGGAAGGCCATGGTTACCGTTGCTAGGGTAGTATTGAATATATATATTAAAAACCCTGCAACCCAAAAATGCGTTAGCGTTGACTTTTGAACAATGAAAAACATAATGTTTTTAATAACTCTAAAAGTGCCGGACAAGCTTCTGAGGTTTTTTAGAAATATTCCGAACACAAGACTCAGTCCTACATGCCGGACCAAAAACCAAAAATGACACCCCGGCCGAATATATAAGAACTACAAGGATCAGTGTGAGACATCACATCTCAGATACAATCCCCAGAAGCCCCAGAAAGAAGAAACAGCCAAGATCCCTGGAATCTAATTTTTAATTTTTAGAAAAACAAAAATAAACTCTGCGGGCCAGTGGGAGACTCACGTCACCACTCACCACTGGTACTGTTCGTCTCGCGCGTTCTCGCTGTATGGCCCGAAGGCACAGGCGAACCAAAGGACGACGAGACTTTTCAGCAAAATCACGGACGTAGGACTTTTATCCAGTCGACTATACGATACATATAAGCGTTTTAACCGCGCGTGCATAGAAATGAATACGTTAAATAAAAGCGTTTAACTTGAAACTCTGCGTTTTGACTTTTTTATCACTTTTTTAGTTAGTCGATGGTTTTATTTATTATTTTTTAGCATATGTATCTGGATTTCGGATCACACAACACACGGAGATTGAGATGAAGGGAATGGCCAGGGTGTGTGTATCAACCTTAGTATAGAACCAAAGGTGTTTGTGGTCTTTCCAAGTTGAAGGACACTTTAAATGTGTAAGTCAGAATTTAAGCGTTTAGTTGTTGAACCGGCGCCAGCGCGAATACGCTGTCATGGCTGAATACCAGAAGCGACTAGGATGCACACACAGCGGGTGCCACTTCGCATTAGCTGCACTTTGTTGCGGACTTTTGGCATTGGGACTATACTGCACAACTGCACCGGTGTTTTGCGCTGGTAAATCACCTTCACATGAAGTATTGAGTACACTGGTGTGCTCGAGCTTTAAGGAGAATACGAACGAAGTAGAAGGAGCTGGGTTCATACCCGATGCTGATTGGTCGCAATCACCTTTATATAAGAATGTGAAGGCCTATAAGGACGTTGATACAACAGGTAATGTGAAGTAAAATATCGTTGCAATTCATCAAAGATTAACTTAGACATTTTAGGTTTTCCGTATTTAGCTTGAGATATGCGGGACGCAAACGTAGCCAGTGGAGAGATGACACAATCGCACACAATATGCTTTTGAAAGCAAAACTAGCAGACAGTTGCGCTCATAGTTCTGTACACACTGCGTTGTTTGTCTTTGTAATATTATTTATTAGACAAAAATTTAAAGCTTACTTCAAAATTAATGAGAAAACATCAAATTATTATCAGTATCCGCATTTCTCAACCTAGTAAAGTCGAACTTCACGAGAATATATCTGCAAGTCGTCCAACTAGCACTTATACAATGCGTGTGAATAGATCAGCTTACTTCTTAATAAATTCAGTGCATCATGGTTTCGACTGTCTCCACATATTGGTAAATATACGCTCGTACTCGCAATTACACGGACGAAGAAAAAATGTCTTGATCTATTTATCTATTGTAGTTTCATGTTGATGTATCAGTTCCTTATCCAGCAGTCTAGTAAAAAATGACATTACCGTGGAGTTTTTAGGAGGTGTATTTTCAAATGTTGTAATGATAGGCTCGTTCCTATTCGTGCAAGCAATAAATGACTATCAGACCGCATATCCACGTCCGAAATATACATTCGTGAGCTTCTGCCTGCAATGATTTATTTGTGATACATACCTACGAAGGGTTGCGACCTACAGGTTCAATATGGATTTGTGCACAAAGTTGTGGTTTAATTGTGCAACAATTTGTAAATTGCAGGCGTATTTGCATCCTCAGATGCCTATACAGTACGTCGCATAGTGTTCGTATTTAAAGATATACCTTTTCCTGTAAGCACGCAAAATTATACGTGCATAGAGATTATGTAGAGGTGGGTACTGAATTGGTGAGTGATGACATGTGCGACACATTGTATGTTCTGTATGTATTGTTTATCCCCGAGTCTATTTGTCTACGCAAAGTGTATGAGCACATACTTGTATGTATTCGCGTATTCAATTAAAACTCAAAAAGTAATCGTGATCTGAACTCGTCATCTTTGTGCCTCTGATTTTAAAATGAGATACCTCTCCTTGTGACGTATAGATGCTTGAACTTGTTATCGGCATGTGGATTTCGTATGCAGGCAAACGGTATTCGTATGAGCGGAGGAGTACTTCTGCACATACATCTGCGCTCGATTACACGTTTACATTTATGCATATATCCACGCAATATGTACCCATATGAGCTGAAGAGTGTATCTTGACATACATATGCGATTATTACGCTTTTACATGATGGTTTTAGGAAGGAAGCTAGTTGTACAGTATTGAGACCACTTTTTTTTATAAATCAGCCCTCACATGTACCAATACGTAATCGTAGTCAACAGCTGTACAGGCGCGTCCTACGCTTTTCAATCTTTTTGCGATTGCGCCCACCAAGCCGTGTCTTTGTGCTGCATTACATTCGCAATACAGTAGGAGCTGTGTGATATAGGGTTAACAAGGATGTGTGCTTGAGTTTCTATGTGCTGCATTACATTTGCAATACAGTAGGAGCTGTACAATATAGAATTAACAGGGATGTATGCTTGAGTTTAACTTTCACACTCGACACTCTTCTTTTATATGGAAAAATCTCAATCGTCATATCGCTGTGATGACCTGAATGCACAACAACTGTCTATTAAAATAAAATTCTACAAGCGTTGCATCTGAACATACGCACACAGTATATGTTCCGCGCATTAGGTTTAATGTAATGAATCCATACCCATAGCCACACGTTGCTTCACTCACGCACACACTCGTCGATATTTGTAGAGGAAATTCTCACGCCGCTTAGCTACGATGATGGGAGTACGCATCCGCCAGTACTTCAGCAGATATCGTTGGAGACGTTCATTCAAGAGATTGTGGAGGTTGAAGCACGACACAGCATTACTGATAAACAAGGCAGTGTTGTTCCGATGAGCATAACAGAGGCCTACGTTCAGCATACTCTGAAATCCCTGATTTCCGTTCTTTTTGAAGGTGTGTTAAGTGAAACTGCAAAGCTTGTAGGTGCAAAGAAAAAGCAATATACACAATACTTGAGGCTGTATAATATCCGGATCGATCCGACACACAGCCCAATATCCATATGTAATTTAGATCGACCTTGCTGTTTGCTGCCTGCCATGGAACACAGGATCCAAAGGGAAGGGAAGATTATTCAGAAAAGAGCTGTCATTGGCGAATGTTTCTCAGGCGTATAAGAAGTGCACTAGCAATATGTCATATGAGAATCTGCATGCCGTACTGTATCTGACAAGCCGTCTCGTACAGGCGCTGGATAAAGAACCAAGGTAAGATACAGATATATTGGTTGCCAATACTGTGCTTGAACGTATATGATGTAATGGCGTGACTAAAAGTCATTTCATGAAGCATGTATTGCACCACTCTTCCCCAAAGTGGTCTGTTCCAATGCGATCGAAACGCTATTAGCAGAGAATGATAAAACTGCTGCTCTGAATTCATCTCTGCCTTTCAATTGCGTCCGTCCTTGGCAACGAGGCTCAATGAATTCCGAAAACTGAATCGCTTGCTACTTGGTATTCAATACACATATTCAGATGTGAGTGGTGGCTCACCAACGGGTCTGGTGTTGGTCTATGGAGAGGAAGGTTGGTACCGTGGGAACCTGATGTTGATCTTGCTGTAACCGCGCGCTCAAAAAGATGGTGAGAAATGAGATCTGTAACCATATACGAGTCCCCTGTTGTTCTATAGAGCTGTGATCAACAGAGTATGTCCGTCTGGGTAACTATAAAGAGACTACATGTTGTATACAATTAAATATGCTTTTATCTGTTTGATTGGTATGCCCATCTGTCGCTCTAGAACGACCACATATATAATACAATTAAAGATACTTTTATAGGTTTACATGCTATTGATTTTGCGATACCCAGGAGGATTTTTTCTCAATTGAATACGTCCAAACCGGCACCTACCGGTACAAGTTCACTATCGTGGTACCGCATATATGAACAGCCTCACTGAACTTTGAGAAGAAGAACGCAATTTTTTCACGTTCGTGGCATGCTCATATATTCACACGTTCGATTCTGACCAACAATATGAGTTGCCTCTCAGTTTGTTATGCTTTCTAATTACAGGTGTATGAATGCCCTGTGGGATGATGGTGGTTTCGTTCTCAAACAGATGCTAATGAAATGCAGGTATAGGGATGAGCGGTTTTTGGTATATCATGAGTTGTAGCTCGAGAGCTTAGTCCATTAACGATTGAATCCATTGTAGACGTTGGTTCCGCAAAATTTATTTTGCAAACGAGAAGCAGTGATGACGGTGGATGGCTATAGCTCGTTTGGTAGGACACATGCACACTTTGAATCGATCTTATATGATTGTCTTGCACAGCCTTGAGTTCGATAGAATCATTGCAAGACCAATGAAGGCATCCCGTCGAGGTTAATGAAAGCTTATCTAATACTGGCGAACACAGTACCCGAAAAGGGAACACATTGAGGTGTAGGAAGGATAAAAAGAAGACACACTGGAGCGTAGCACAGCGCCTCAGCCTGTCGGAAGAGCTGCTCGCTATTCATCGAAAGACACGTGTCGACCTCCATGTTTTTGAAAGGAACAACCAGGGGCGATTTGTTCAAGAATGCGGGTATGTGTTTGATTTCGTAGCGGGAGCAGGTTCTGAGAAACGCCAATTTTCATTCCATGTCGAACTCGTACGAGAGGTTTGCAGGCAAACGAACCAATTAATATTTCACGACACTATAAAAAAATAAAAATTTATAGGATACTAGAGCCAACCTGGATTGGTGTTTGACAGGCATGTAGTTGACATACATGGCATATATCTTATAGTCTACGTTTCTTCTTGTATGATAAGATGCTGCTCACTAGTCAACCCACAAAGTGAGAACAGAATATTGCAGTCACTATTTCATTTGACTAGATCCTGACTCGTAATATGCATAGAAATCTAGTGGTTGATTGGTAAAATATGTACTAATCAATATAAATAGTCAAAACGCTTGCCAGCTATCTGTAATTCAGCTTGTATCTCATAAATAATCATCAATGAACACCGTAGATCGTTTATAACACTTTAAATTACAATCAGTATGGATAGATTTGATCACACCAGAGTAGTTTGTGTGATGACGTGCGAACCTCTCTGCGTATCTAGCTGGTGAATAAGGTGTTAGCCTTGTTGGACTTTGCAACTGATAGTCTGAGTATATTTACGGCACCGATGATATTCAATTGTATATTCAGAGAAGATGCTGCAGATCGGCAGTGCAAAGTAGAATGGACGGAAAGGGATATATTTCCGCTTACTAAATACAGTCTCAAAGGAGGGCTTCGGGTACGGTGCTGGTCTACGGTCGTATCGATTCGAATATATACCCTTGACCCTTGATGCGTGTTGTATATTTTAAGCCAACAGCTTTTTGCCTGCGCATTAG